ATAATACTATTTTATCATATTACTGTTCATCTTTGATGGCAAAACATGAAGATGATATCAACTAGGAGCCATGAGGAAAATCAATTGAGCTACTTGAACCCACCTGAACCATTGGAAAGTCTTGTGAAGTGTAAGTCCACACAAACTTGTCACCAAGAGAATCTGGGCATGACTCATCCATAAGATTACCATTGTAGTAGGGGTTGAGGTGACCCATTCGGAATCGAACAGATTTTGCAGAATATATATGGAAGCGATGCTCGAAATAAGCTGAACCGAAAATTTCTAGGGAAAATTTACAAGGTAGATATTAAAAGAGGTGAAAAAGTATCAAAACAGTGAAGAGTTGGAACACATACCTTTGTCAGGTTTTATTCTGATTTCAGTAACAACACACAAATCAGCCACCAATTTGTAAGTTAGTGCTTCAGGGACTACAGGATTACTGTATCCTTTACTTGACCAGTATGAAGCTCTCACTCCCACCACATCATTCTTCTCCAGAGTATTATCTATGCTTTCCCATGGATGATCAGTGCTGGAAGCAATGATGGCTTCTGAGATGCACTTCTCTTCTTCAGGAAATGACATAAAACCTCGAGCCAAGAAGGCATAAGCCCTGTGCTCTTTCTTCAAAGTTTCCCATTCCATGTTACTAGATCCAACTGCCACAAGGCTTTCTGCCATGGAGGCTGGCTCAACCACATGATCAACTCTAGATAATTGAGGAAACATCCTCAAGCACAGATGCTTGGCAAAACCATTAGCTATCACTGGAAATTTCATGAAAGAGCAAACAAAAAATCAATACCTACCATTTTGCTTATGAACTGTTACCTTCTTTGATTAGCGAAAATAGCACAACTAAGTACAAACTACAGTGGTACCCCAGCAGCCAACCATAATGCTCAGAATTTTATAGACTCATCAATCATACTTCTAGACAACCTATCCCCAAGTAAAACTTTTCAAAATATTTTGAACAGGCTACAATTCAGTCCCTTTATCATGTGTACATTTGCAGTTGTTAATAACTCACCAAAATTTCGCCAAGAGTGAGAGACACAGCTAACACGCGCAATATCAGACGGATCATCCAAACATGTGAAAATCTTCCCTGACATCTCATCATTGAGGTAACTGAGAAAATCCAGTTGAGTTCCCATTTAACCAAACTGTCGATCAACTCAGCAGTTCTTCTCAACTTCAATTCCTGATTTAGCACACTGTAAAACACACTGTATCAAAAAAAGAAAAAAAAAAAATGAACAACTAATAAAATTATTTTAATCTTTCCCTGAACTATAATCACAAGAAGCAATTCAGATGAAATGATGATACATGCAAAACAACAAAAAGAAATTAATTTTTCATTGATTTCCACCAACAATTAAATAAAGGCGGTAAAAAAAAAACGAGTGGCTTAAAAAGAAAACAGTACCAAACAGAGCACAAGCACGAAACTTTCTACCGACAAATGAAAGCTGAGAGCTTTATATTGCAAAATTCAAACATAAATGCAGCAATCAAATTCAATCAATTGTGCAGAGATGAACGCAACCGATTGTGTAAAGAGGACGGGAGAAAAAGGGGGGAAATTGGAAAAGCAAAGACGAAGAGAGTAGAGAGTTCTAGAGAAATGAAGTAGGGAGGATGGTGAGAATGGAAATTAGAAAAACTTCACCTCTGCAGAAGAAAAAAGGGGAATCGAGAAGCCAAGCCCTAGAGAGAGAAGTTGAAAGAATCGACTACTGAAGTGGTTGAAGAAGGAGATAGACAATACCATTAACAGATGTGTTAAGGCTCAAAGGTCATGTAATTTTACAATTACTTAATAGGGTGTTTGTTTGGTTTAGGTTATATGAGTAATTGATCCATCCCCATCAATATAGGAATAATAATATTGTTACTTGAGTTTTCAAGTTTAATAATTTTTTAATTTTTTTTTTTTTGTTTATTTAATATGGGTTTTCCTTATGGTATATATTAAAAGTTTAAAAGTATAATAAATATATTTTTATCATAATTTTATATTAAAAAATAAAAATTGACTTTTAATTTTTTTAGTTTTGCTTTTTCTTACTTCTCTTGAAAGGAATTTGGGGACTGAGAATCAAAAGCTTAAGTGCTGCAGTTACACTCCATTGTCCACACCAAAAATCCCATAAACTACAATGAGAACAAAAGTTCATCTTTTTCAAAACATAGCAAACATATAAAGGGACGAAGGAGCCCCAAGGAAACATACACTACTGGAACTCTGTTAACCGTTGTTCCCAAAGCTTGTTCCAAAACAACATACTCCTATAGTTCATTTTACACCCAAATGAATAACCTCTCCCTTTCACTATAAAGCCGCAAAATGCAATGTCATAAAAAAACTCAAAGCAATCTGCAAACATATCTTACAAAGAACCTGTTGCTGATGATCATGTATCATTATACATATTCCTGTGCTATTGGTTTTAGCAACCAAATGGGCACTGTCTCAGGCTCAGCAACCTGTGGAATCCCTCCATTGATCATATATCTTTGACAGCAAAGAAAATGGCCATTTCTGGTCCCATCCGGTTTGCTACTCAACAGCAGGAAAATATAAGCAATACATGAACATGACAGCGGTAAGAGCTTGACTTCCTGCATAAACCAAGATTTGTTAAGTCGCTATAAAATAAGAAATGCATATTTGCTGTACTAATAGAACAGTCTAAACTTGTTAAAAGTTGGATGCAGAATCAGACTTGGGGTGCAGGACAGGGATGCAATAGAACCAACCAGAATTTACACTCGGATGTTTACAGCTCTCTATCCTTGCAGACACGTTGTAACCTCTTTCTTTAAGCTACTGGGATATATTAAAACAGCATCCACACATAGCCCTCCTTTGGTGTGAGTGCAATCAATCTGAGTCAATGCGAATTTGATCTTTGTCAATACATTAGGATTCCTGATAACAAAATCTCCCACATGGTAAAGAACCCAGTTCCCAGGATTGTCCAAATAACACTTGTTTGAAGCCTGTTGACCATCAGAAGTTGTTAGCTGAAACTGTGCAGGTTTTATGTCCCAGCCATGAATGTGCTCGGAATTACAAACCCGACGACCAAGCCTTTTTGATGACCTCCCAAGCTGGAGTCTGAAGAATAGGCTATATGTCCCTACCAGAAATTGAAACTCCAGTTCTCCCCCTACTTCAAACCACCAAATTTGTTGAAGGTATGCAACTGTACGAAACCTACATGCAAAATATAGGAACAAGATATCAATCAGACTGTTCTGACTCTTATTTAATACACACTCAAGAGTCAAAAGACAAATATTGCTGACATGCAAGCTAAAGACATTTGAAATCAATCAGTACATTTGTGAAGTTCCAAACTTCCAATCATTTCCACGTAGAAATATTAATACTATTCTTTTACACTAAAATACATACTTCTTACTAAGTATAGAATGAAACTGAGTCAAAAGTATCTATCAAGCTATGTTTTCCAGGATTATAAGGCGAAATTTGCAGAAATTCAACTAGACTTAGAAATTTTGAATAATTGAATATATACACACCTGGATTCCTCTGTGGAAATGTGACTCCAGTATCTCCTGTCATCAATCCCAGTAATTGTTAACGCCTTCGAAGAAATTGATAAGCAAACCCCACCTGAATTCTTATCCAACCATACCACCTGTACATATCCAAAGCTAATATTGTGTCAACAAATATGTAAAATGAAATCAAATTAATTTTCATCACAGAGAAGGGGAAAAAAAAAAAGAAAAAGAAAAAGTTGAAACCTTTGTGCCATCAGCAAAAGAATTAGGCTTGCTCAACCTTGCATAAAGTTCCCTTTTTGCCAAATTGAACAAGGTTGTGTCTTGGAGCACTTTTTCTACAATAAACCCATAATTGGAAGGCAACTTAGATTCCCAGACGAAATCAGCGAGAGAAGCACCGTGGAAAGCCCGATTCAAGCGAGCCAAATTGCATATTTCCGGCGGGTCTAACCGCATCAAAACCAATGCCACACAGCTTTCCGGTATATCCCCAAGTCTAAGCCTGTACGACGTAGAAGGACTATCTCCATCACAATCCGATCTATCCCCAGATACGTTGGCACCCATCAAACAAATTAATTCTTCTAAATTAACCCAAAAACCAAAAACTAATCCAGAATCTGAATATAAACCCCCCGATCAAAAATTGATCAAGTCAATCCAGATCGTAAAGAGGGACGTAGAAAGAGAAAAATGAGAATAAATGCACGAAATTAATTTAGCTGATATGATCTGTAACCAAGATGGAAAAAACAAGAGAGAAAAAAAAAATTCCTTAAAGCAGAATTCTGAATATTAAAATCTATATGAGGTATATATTTAGGAAAAAATTTTGTTAGATAGACATGGAGAACTTGGAGATATGATAGATTTGAAAAAAAAAAAGAGATTCATTCAAACAATATTTGACAGAGTCGGCGGTTTCAGAGAATGTTAATCAATTGGGTGGTGATGTGAAAAGGACGGTGGCGTTTCTGATTTTGGTTTCTGGGGATTTGAGCAACATCTAATCCAGTACAACATTTGACTATTTATTAGTAAAAATATTTTTTTATTT